TTCATTTTTGTGTGATGCATATATGTAGTCACGATTTGAATATTGATAAGGTTTTATATAAAAAATTTATTCACGTGTGATGTAAATATTTATTCATGTTATTTAAAAAATAATACACCTTCACAGTGATGTAAATACTGATATGTTTTGATATAAAGTTTTCATTTTTGTGTGATGCATATATATAGTCACGATTTAAATATTGATAAGTTTTTATATAAAATTTTTATTCACGTGTGATATCAATATTTATTCATGTTATTTAAAAAACTAATACACCTTCACAGTGATGTAAAATAGTGGTCCCTGTAATTTAGATATTATTATGGTTTCGTATAAATTGTTCATTTCTTTATTATGCAAATATTTATCTACTTGATTTTGATATTATTCTATTTTTATGTAAAATATTCACCTCGGTGTGATGTACATATTTGATCATGATTTATATATTAATATTATTTCATATAAAGTTTTTATTCACTTGTAATGTAAGTATACATTTCTAATGACTTAAAAATTAATATGTATCAATATAAAGTTTTCCTTCCTCATGTGATGTAAATATTTATTTATAAATATTTCCTATAATTATCTGTTTAAAGTGACCAAGTGATAGAAAAAATATAAAGAGAAACGAAAAAATTGATATAAATAATTACAGAGATAAAACATGCTCAATTGTATGAATATAATATTATATACCATCTAACAAAAATAAAAGGGTATGTCATAAAACTCAAAAATAAAAGAAAAAAAAATACGGCACACATAAGATATATGCTAATGTTAAAGATACGGCACACAAACAATATTTAAAAGACAAGATCTGCAATGCTTTTTGATTGAGCGATGAGTGAGAGAGAGAAAGGTGATCATGGGAAGAATCCTGGCAAATCAAGTGAAGAACTTGACATTCTTCAAAGAAGTAATAAGAGGAATAAAGGTGAGGGAGATCAGTTTTCAAATGATGTATCTATGATACCTAGACATGAAGGTTGGATGGAAGATGAGAATGGCCAACGTTCAACCTGGAGGGAAATTCTGATGCGTCATAATGGAGAAGATGATGAATGGGAAGGAGAAGCGTCTGCTAAGGAAGACTTAGATGGGGAGGAACCTGCTGAGGAAGAGGATGTCAACCATGGAGGAATTAAGATGTGGGAGGAAGATGATGGGCGTACTTATTTTAGTTGCACCAAAAGAGCAAGGAAGAGAATGAGGAAACCTTGGGAGAAAGCTCTGATTGTTAAACTCCTTGGGAAGAAAATTGGGGTGGAGTTTATTAAGAAAAAAATAAATGTCTTATGGGCTAGAAAAGGCAAAATCAATGTCACTGATATTGGTAATGACTTTTTCGTAGTCCAGTTTAGTGAGAAGGATGATCTCAATTTTGCGTTGAACGGTGGTCCATGGATTGTTTTGGGTCATTATTTATCGTTGAGGAAGTGGGAACCAACTTTCAGACCTAATAGTGCTGGAATTGCTAAGATTGCTGCTTGGATTCGTCTACCGGATATTCCCATTGAATTCTATGATGAAGCTTTTTTTAGAAGGATTGGAAACTGGTTAGGCAAGATGATCAAGGTAGACAACAATACAAATGCTCATGTAAGAGGACGGTTTGCAAGAATATGTGTGGAACTGGACCTATCTCTGCCATTAAAGGGTGATTATGTGTTGGAAGGATTTACCAAACAAATTGAGTATGAAGGATTAGGGCTCATTTGTTTTGGTTGTGGGAAATATGGACATAGCACCGAGAATTGTTCAGCTGCTCCAAAGCAACGCAGTTCATCCGATATTCATAATGACGATCAAATTCATCAAGAGGAACCTGGCAACTCAGAATTCCATCGAAGCAAAGGATTGAGACATTGGATGGTTGTTAACCGTCAACGCAGGAGCCGGCAACCTCCTCAGACGGCCGGTGCAGTCCAGCCAGGCGCTGGTTCAAAAACGTTACAAAGGAATAATGATAAGGGAGTTATGACCAGCGATAATCATGGAGATAATCATGGTGATAAGAGAGTTATGACCAGCGATAATCATGGTAATCATGGTAATAAGGGAGTTATGACCAGCGATAATCATGGTGATAAGGAGGAAATTACGCAATCACGGTTTGCAATCTTAACAGCTGGACCTATTAATGAGGAGGATCATAATCAAATAATTAATTCTGTTACTCCTCATATGGGGGCCCCTCAGTTTGAAATTCCTCAGAAAATATGGACTAAATCCAAAAAGTCCAAAGATACCCCTAGGACTAATTCAACGGTTCCTACTATGCATGCGGCTCCTTCTTCAAGCACGGGTAAGAGGTGTCCAGTCCAGAGTGAAAATCGTGAAGATCATGCTCCCGTTCCACCATCTCCATCAATTGCTACTCCCATGGCGGTTAGTCCTATGCAAGCAAATCAACATGATCAGGAAAATGGGATGAAAGCAGATAGCACTTTGAACCAGAATCAAGAGCAGTTATATGGCACATTTCATAAAACTGGTCCTGATATATCAGTTGACAACAGCAGCGACATCCAAAATCCTGAAACCTCAACCATCTCTACGTGCATGGAGGTGGACAGAGTTCACCAGGAAGATATTTCAAGAATGAAGGATGCAAGAACCTTGGAGTCTTGCGTTCAACATAGTTTTTAATGAATTTATTCTTCTGGAACTGTAGGGGAGCAGTGAAACCCCAGTTTCAAAAATCGCTTTTTCTGTTTACTAGGAAATATAAGCCTAGTATTGTAGTGATTCTAGAACCTCTGTGTAGTGGTCAAAAAGCTTCTGACATTATCCGAAAATCTGGGTTTAAGCATGCTTTTGTTCAAGAGGCTGAAGGTTACTCAGGGGGTATTTGGATCCTCTGGAATGATGAGACTGGTCTCGTTGAAATTGTTAATCACACAAAACAGTTTGTTCATTTTAAAGTTCAAAATTTTCATGTTCCTTCCTTTTCTTGCACGGCTGTTTATGCGAGTCCTAGGGAAGAAAATAGAAAGGAGCTATGGGATGATCTGCTAAACATTAGTCTCCATTGTAATGGGCCGTGGTTGGTGGCTAGGGATTTTAATGAAATAGCAAATCGTGATGAGAAGGAAGGTGGCTGTAGAGTTAACTTAAACAGATGTTCCAATTTTGCAAATGTTCTTCATAATTGCAAGCTGCTGGATCTTGGAGGATCGGGTCCTTGGTTTACATGGAAGGGTCCGAAGTTTCTTCATCTTGATCGTGTTTTTAAGAGGCTGGACCGAGCCTGTGCTAATGCAAGTTGGAAGACTACCTTTACTGATGCTGGCGTTAAGGTACTTCCATGGATTTATTCTGATCATAGTCCCATTTTGGTCTACTTGACTAACTTGGACACAGGTTGGAAAAATCGTCCTTTTCGCTTTGAGATTGCTTGGATGAAGCATTATAACTTTACTCAGTTTCTGGCTAGGAGCTGGAATGTTGTGAAAGACACTAGAACGAATCTGCATGATCTGACTCCAAATTTAAAAAGATGGAACAAGGTAGTCTTTGGCAACATTTTCAACAGGAAGACTAACCTATTGCATAGTATTGCAGAAATTCAGAATCATGTTGATTATCATACCAACTTATCTCTCCAATCTAGAGAAAAGGAGGTTAGGAAGGACCTTGATGCGGTTCTCATACAAGAGGAGATCTTATGGTTTCAAAAAGCCAGGGTGAAATGGATAAATGATGGGGATAGAAACACCAAATTCTATCACATTAAAACAGCTACTCGAAGAAGTTCGAATAGGATCCTTGAGTTAAAAAATTCTGATGGGATTTGGGTGAAGGAAGCTAGACAACTTTATCAATTGGTAACAGATTTCTATAGTAACTTGTTTAGTGAGGAAGTCCTTAATCATGATTAGGTGAAAACAAAGACTACTTGGCCCCTTCTGCACGATGATCTGCTATCTAATCTAACTCGTAATCTTTCGGATGACGAAATTTCAAAAGTTGTTTTTAGTATCAATGGGTCAAAAGCTCCAGGGGAAGATGGTTTTCCAGCTTCCTTTTTTCATAAGAATTGGAGCCTTTTAAGACTAATGTTATTAAGGATGTTAACATGATGTTTCAGAATCCCAATCTGATTCACCTTGTGAACTCGACTCTTCTGGTCCTCATTCCAAAAGTAAAAAGACCTGAAAGTGCTAAGCAGCTCAGACCAATCTCTTGTGCAATGTCATTTATAAAATCCTCAGTAAAATTCTGGTTAACAGAATGAAGCCCCTAATGGAAGAGATGGTGTCTCCCTTCCAAGCTAGTTTTGTTCCTAAACGACATATCCAGGACAACATCATCATCACCCAAGAGCTGATCCATTCAAAGCGTAGAATGAGAGGAAGAAAATGTTTCATGGCAATTAAAATCGACTTGGAAAAGGCTTATGATATGTTAAATTGGGAGTTTGTTCATAAAGTTTTGGATGAAATTCAAATCCCACACTGGTTCACAAATATTATCATGAATTGTATCAACTCTGATAAGGTCTCGGTACTTTGGAATGGAGCCATTGCAGGTGACTTCCTTCCTTCAAGAGGAGTTCGTCAGGGTGATCCTTTATCTCCCTATATTTTTGTTCTAGCCATGGAAAAATTGTCTCATCTCATTCAAGATGAGGTTGACAATAAAAGATGGAAGCCAATCTCCGTGGGATCAAAAGGTCCTAAGATAGCCCATCTGATGTTTGCTGATGATTTGATGCTATTTGCAGAAGCTTCTCTAGATCAAATCAAAGTTATAGTGGATTGCTTGGAGACTTTTAGTTCAATGTCTGGCCTAAAGGTTAGTATTCCGAAATCTAGTATTTTTTTCTCGAAAAATACAGATGCTCACATTGCAGATGATATCACAAATGTGTGTGGCTTCAAGCAAACACACAATATAGGGAGATATCTTGGGTCCATGATGAAACATGGTCGAGTAACCAAAGACCATTATGCTGATGTTGTCGCAAGAATTAGGCACAAGTTATCTGGTTGGAGTAACCAGGTCTTATCTTTTGCCGGTCGAATTACTCTTTCCAACTCCGTTATTTCAGCAACTCCTATATTTCAAATGCAACACAGTCTGCTTCCGGTAGCCATTTGTGATGAAATAGAGAAGTTGCAGCGTGCCTTTATTTGGGGTGATAAAAATGGTCAAAGGAGATCTCATTTGGTTGCATGGGATAATATTTGCAAGCCTAAGAGCATGGGTGGCTTAGGGGTGATTAACCTTCGTGTCCAAAATATGGCTTTCTTTCATAAGCTTGCATGGACGATTCTTACTTCGCCCGATTCGTTGTGGGTTCGAGTTGTAACAAGTAAATATAAGAGAGGTTTGGATCTTTGGAGGGAAGTAAATCATAAAGCATATGACTCATACTTCTGGAAAAATCTGTGTAGTGTTTGGCCATCTTTTCTTCAAGCAATGCAATGGGAGATTGGAGACGGTAATGATGCATTATTTTGGATAGACAATTGGTTGGGTTTAACTGAGTGTCTTGCCTCTCTGGCTACTCGTACTCCAACAGGTTTGGAGTTGAATCTCCCTGTTAGTGCCTTCGTGAACAGCAATACTGGTCAATGGAACTTTCCCTATATTCGTCAATATCTTAATGATCAAGTTGTTGCAAGGATCCAAGCTGCTCTCATTCCTAGCGCATCGGATGGAAATGACCGCATTATTTGGAGAAATCAAAAGCTTGGCTGCTCTTTAGTTAAAACCGCGTATTATAACATGCTTGGTTTCCCTCTCATGCCGTTGAAAAATTCTTGGACTACCATATGGAAATGGCATGGGCCTCAACGTGTTAAATCTTGTATGTGGATCATAATGCATGGCCGCCTTCTTACTAAAGAACGCACATCTAGATGGAGTGGGGAATCTGGTCATTGTAAAATGTGTCCTGGTGAGTTGGAAACAAATCTCCATGTTCTAAGAGATTGTAAGCATGCTAGAAGTGTTTGGAATTCTCTGGTTTCAGCTAATCGGCAAAGCTTATTCTACAACTTGGATCTTAGAGATTGGGTTAAAAATAATATCTCAAAAGCTTGGAATCAAAGTAATTCAGATGATTGGCGTGATGTCTTTTTTATCTCTTGCTGGTTCATTTGGGGATGGAGGAACAAAAGTGTCCATGATACTAACTTCAAGCATCTAACCCATGGAACGCACATAATTGCTATGTATATAGAGGAAGTTCGTAACTGCATGGGTAGGAAGGCTATGGCTACTACTAGCATTCATCCAACTCGTATGAGTTTATGGAAACCTCCAAGGCTAAATTGGGTGAAGATTAATATTGATGGGGCAGTTGAAAGGAATACTGAGGTGGCTGCTTGTGGTGGGATTATCAGATCTGATGATGGCTCTTGGTTGGGAGGCTTTGAGTATCATATTGGTGTTTGCACTCCTTTAATGGCGGAGCTTTGGGGAACTCTAAAAGGTCTGGAATTGGTTTGGCAACTGGGATTTAAGAAGGTGGAACTAGAAGGAGATGCTTCTGAAGTATTCTCTTTGCTTGCTGATTGCAATGCAGCTTGTCAGCCTCGTATAATGGCTAAGATACAAGCACTCATCGGTCAGGATTGGGAGGTAACGCTTTCTCATATTCCAAGAGAAGCTAATTCCTGTGCAGATTGGTTAGCCAAGTCTGCTCTTCACAAAGATACTGGATTCTGGAGTCATAGAGTTATGCCGTTTCACCTTGCTCAGTTATTTGATCACGATCTTCAGGGAATCTCCTCTTGTAGGGATATAGACCCTGGATAGTTATTTTTTGTTTCTGGTTGTTTGTTTGTTTTTGTTTGGGGCTTCGCCCCTTAATGTTATCAAAAAAAAAAAAGATACGGCACACATAAGGGGAAGTTTGGTAGAGAAGAAAAAAAATTTTGTCCGAAAATCTCGATTTTCAAAAATATGATTTTTATATGCAGTTTAAAATAATATCTGTAAATTTAAAATTTAGAAAAATTCAGTTTCCTGGAAATCCGGCCAAAATTCTTGTACCAAACGCTCCCTAAAACTCAAATTTAACGTCGTTGTGAATCTGAATGTTAAAGATCTATGGGTTGGATGTGACTCAAAGGAGGCTCTTCAATGTTTAGAGACTTTACCTCCCCACTGTGGCTACTCCTCTTTTATCAATCGTATCAGAAGTGCTAGCTAAGTTCTGGGTCTTTTTCAACCAGTGTTCATTCCCAGAATGCTGAAGAACTGCGTTTCTTCCCTTCTCCCCCTTCTAGTATTCTTTCTTTTTGGAATGAACTAAATCCAGGATTGTGATGGAGCATGTTGAATCTGACATGCATCATCTTAGTTTGTAGTTTTTTGTTTTGTTTGGGCTTTGCCCTCCCTTTTACCAAAAAAAAAAAAAGATACTAAAACTAGGGTTGTGCATGGGTCAGGCCAGATTTTTGTGCGGATTTGACCCAACTAGATTTTTATAGGTCAGGTATTTTGACCTGACCTGCTTTAATTTGATTCAAGTCAGGTCTGACTTGGTTTGGATTTTTTTGAACCAGTCAGGTAGGATCTGACTTGACTTGGTTTCTGAAATTCTTCTGACTTGGTTTCAGAAGTGGGTTAAATCTGACCTGATCCGTTTTTGACTTGGTTTCGTCACAAAATTTTGTTAAAATTTATAGGTTGCAAACAACGAAAATTTCGTCACAACATTATTTTTCGTCAGAATACTTTTTGTCGAAAAGCGACGAAATTTTTTCTCTAATGAAAATTTTTACAAAAATAAATTTTGTATCAAAATTTAGTTTTCGTCAAAAGTTTTGACGAAAATGATTTCCTCCATCAAATGTTTTAAACGAAAAAAGAATTCCTTCAAAACTTTTGACGGAATATTTTTCGTTCAAAATTTCGATGAGAATGTGTTCTGACGAAAATTTCGACGAATATTGTTTTGAAAAAAATGTTTCATTCGAAACTTTCGACGAAATTTAGATTCTCCAATTATTTTTGACAAAATATTTTTTTCGTCAAAATTTTTTATCGAAATATTTTGTCAAAAACTTTTACGAAATTTTTTTACATTAATGTGTTCTGTTGAAAATTTTGATGGAAATATTTTTTGTCAAAAAACTTGACGAAAATATTTAATCGAAAATTTTCGATGAAAATGTGTTTCGCTAAAAATTTTGACGAATCTTTTTTTGTCAAAAAGTTTAACGATAATGTTTCCGTCGAAAACTTTCGCCGAAATTTGAATTCTGTAAAGAGTTTTGAGGAAATTTTTTTCGTCAAAAAATTTCGATGGAAATGTGTTTCGTCGAAATTTTTGATGAATATGTTTTTTTGTGAAATATTTTGACGAAATTTAGATTCTGTAAAAAAATTTGACAAAAAAAATTTTCCGTCAAATTTTGTAACGAAATATTTTGTCACAAATTTTGATGAAAATATTTTTCGTTAAAAAATTTTCGATAAATTTTGCGTAAATTTTTTTGACGTAATTGTTTTACGTTAAAACTTCTCTTTTAATGTAATTGTGATTTTTTTTTCTTTTTTTTCACATAATGGGTATGAGTCAAGTTTTGGGTCAATGGGTCATTATTAAAACAAGTCAGGTCTAAAACAGATCCAAATAAAGTGAATCAGTATTTAAACTCAGTTCAAAAAAATAGGTATTTATGGGTAAGGTCAAGGTCAGATCAAGAGCAGGACAAAAGTGAACCATTTTTTTTGCACATCCCTAACTAAAACAATGGAATCGTTGGAATGAACAAAAGAAGATAGTGTGCAAATTAATGTTTGCCCGGCCCACCACTGCACTGTAGAAGAAGACGAGGTGATTGAGAATTGAAATCTCATACCTTTGTTCCACTTACTTTATTTTTAGAGTAAATATTCTTTTTGGTCTCTGAAAATATCCACGAAGCACTTTTTGGTCCCTAGCAATAAAAAATGGACATCATGGTCCCTAAATTTTACAAATAAGGCCCACGTTAGTCCTCCCGTCAGTGGATCCTCTAACGTCGTTACTAACATCTTTAACGTGTACCGTTAAACAACTGAGTCATCATGGAGGAATCCACCTGGATAAAAAATGACTTTGTTTGCTATCTTACTTTTTTTTTTCTTCTCTCCAATATAGGTCCCCACCAATACCACTCAAGTTCATTACAGTTCACTTGTTACGGCCTCCACGC